TTTCCTATATCTGTTTCAAATCGTACAATTTGTAGGTTATATCATCTTACATTACAAGTATAACAAATCGTTTAAACTAGCCTATTTGAAAAAAAAATGAATGAAAGTTTACGGCAGAGGGGTAAAATGTAAAGTAAGAAGGAGAACTGCAGCAAATGGAAAGCTACTAATCGAAAAGTCATTTAATCTAATTTCGCGCTCATCTGAAAATGGGAGCTAACGCTTGGAGGTCATGCGCACTCGCCAAAAAACCGTAGTTGTAAATGAAATGGTTTCTGATAGCAAAACTTATATGCTAGTGAAAGAGAACAAGAAACGAACAGAAAACACTCTCCTCCTCGTTTAAGTTAAACAAAGGCTTACGTGCTCTACTGCTAGGCTACATTCGTGTGTTGCCAATTTTAGAGGAATAAGACTCTGCCGAAGAGTATATGTATCATTATCATCAAAATAACAAAGTACATTATTATTGGCTATCATATCCCTCTGAAGGCTGCCCAAATGTTATGACTCGTTCAGCTGATCGCTGCAAATATTTCCCAACACGTATATAATAATAATGATAGCAGAAAATAAAGAGCGATAGTAAAAATGATATAGAGTATAAAATGGAATATGAATAAAGCTACCAACTTAAACAGACTCGCCAATCTTTCTATAACGACCTTTGAACGATCATCCGCTGCAACAGCGGGATCTACGACGCTCCAGTCCCAGATGAGTGTTTTTAAGCGAGGGAACCTTAAGAAAATCTAAACAACGCAAGTAATTTTTAAAAAATTCATACCTGCACAAAATCACCTACTTTGTTTCAATGCAACTAATCAGATCTTCTGCATCGCGATCATCCGTGTAGTCCAATTCTTGAATAACCAGTGTCGAGACAGTGACGAACGTAGCGGAACAACTCTGGAAAAAATAATTCCTTAATAACTTTGTTAAAGAAGCCTGTCATGCATCACTTGATAGAAGTCGGAGATGGCAAGGACAGCCATTAGCGTCACATAAAGAGATATAGCATACCTTCAGAGAATTGACTTTGAGCCCAGGAAATGTCGCTAACTTTACAAGTTCCACATTCATTTTATCCAGGACTGGGTCTAGTATGTCTCGACTAATCTCCATAGCTCGGATATTTAACCTTTGAAACTCCGGCAGCAATCGTATCCATTCCTTCTTAGAAAACTCTAACTCAGAGAATGAAAATCCTTCAAGCAGCTTGAGTCTGAATGGCTGCAAACAGCATTCTACAGACACCTTCTATATAAATCAAATTCTTACTTTTGCAACAAGAAAATCAGATCATCTACTGTGATGTCGGCTCTATCCAGGGAAAGCAACTTCAGTCTCGCAAAAAATTCCTCCACCTTGAATGAATCAATAAGAAATGGGTTGTGTTTATGATCTTATGAGCCCACCTTATCGTCCTCAATGCTTTTAAGTGCTGTAATCAAATCCTTTAACGGATTTCTGGGATGTGTAATCTCAACTACTGTAGGTCGAAGACTCATTACAATGTCCCAATTTACATCCAATACATCTCCGGAGTAATCGGGGATACCTGAATGCGATAACTATACTATATTGAAAAAACATTGAT